AACACAATAAAAATATAAGCAAATTATATAAATAATCAACAGAAAAGGATTTCATTAATCAGAGCATACAAATTAAAATAAGTTAATAAGCCTGGAACATATGGTCAATTGATTTTTGACAGGGTGCCAGGACCATTCAATGGGGAAAGAACAGTCTTTTCAACAAATGTTGCTGGGAAAATTGTATATCCACATGCAAAAGAATGAAATTAGACCCTTACTTTACACCATATACAAAAGAATTAACTTACATGGATCAAAGTCCTAAATGTAAGAGCTAAAACTATAAAATTCTTAGGACAAACACAAGAAAAATCTTCATGATATTGAATTTGGCATATTTCTTGGATATGACACCAAAAGTATAAGTAACAAAAGAAAAAATAAATATATTGAACTTAATCAGAGTTAAAAACTTGTGTGCATCAAAGGACATAATCAAGAAAGTGAACACAACCTATAGAATAGTTTTAAATCATATATCTGATAAGATATACATATCCCTTACATAGAACCTAATTAAAAAATGAGCAAAGGACTTGAATAGACATTTCTCAAATAACCAAAAGGCTATAAGCACATAAAAATTTGTTCAACATCACTAATCATTAAAGAAATATAAATCAAAGCCACAAGGAGATATCACTTCATACCCTCCAGGATTGCTACTATTAAAAAAAAAATAACAAGTGTTGGTGAGAATGTAGAGACATTGGAACCCTTTTGCATTGCTGGTGGGAATGTAAAATGGTACAGCCACAGTGAAAAATAGTGTGGTGGTGCCTTAAAAAGTTAAGCATAGACTAAGTGAAATAAGGCAGTCATAGAAAGACAAATACTACATGATTTCATTTAAATAAGGTATCTCGAGTAGACAAACTCAGAGAAACAGAAAGTAGAATAGTTGTTGCCAGGATGTGGGGGTAAGGAAAAAGTGGGGGGAGTTGTTGTTTAATGGGTATAGAGTTTCAGTTTCGCAAGATGAAAAAGTTCTAGAGATTGGTTACACAACAATGTGAATATACTTAACATTACTTAACTGTACACTTAAAAATAGTTAAAATAATGATTTTATGTTATGTGTATTTTACCTTCTTTTTTTATAATTAAACACAGACCTGGGCAGTGTGGCTCAGTGGTTGAGCGTTGACCTATGAACCAGGAGGTTATGGTTTGATTGCCAGTCAGGGCACATGCCCGGGTTTCAGGCTCAATCTCCAGTAGGGGGCGTGCAGGAGGCAGCCGATCAATGATTCTCTTTCATCATTGATGTTTCTCTCTCTCCCTCTCCCTTCCTCTCTGAAATCAATAAAAATACATTTTTTTAAGAAGTTAAACAAAGAATTACTATATGACCAAAAATTCCACTTATAGGTAAATACCCAAAAGAATTGAAAACAGGGATTCAAACAGATACTTGTACAACAAGTTCATAGCAGCATTATTCACAATAATCAAAAGATGGAAACAACATAAATGTCCATCAACAGATGAATGGAAACCCAAAATAAGATATGTACATACAATGGGATATATTCAGCCATAAAAAGGAATTAAGTTCTACCCAAACCGGTTTGGCTGAGTGGATAGAGCACCAGCCTGCGGACTGAAAGGTCCCAGGTTTGATTCCAGACAAGGGCATGTACCTTGGTTTTGGGCACATCCCCAGAGGCAGCTGATCGATGTTTCTCTCTCACCGATGTTTCTAACTCTCTATCCCTCTCCCTTTCTCTCTAAAAAAATCAATAAAATATATATTTTTTAAAAAGGAATGAAGTAAAAAAAAAAAAAGGAATCAAGTTCTGACATATGCTACAGCAGGGATGAAACTTGAGGACATTCAGCTAAGTGAAATAAGCCAGACACAAAAGGACAAATATTGTATGATTTCATTAATATGAGGTACCTAGAATAAGCAAATTCTATGAATGTAGAATAGAGTTAACAGGGGTTCAGGGTAGGGACAAATAGGGAGTTATTGTTTAATGGATACAAAGTTTCTGTTTGGGATGATGAAAAAGTTCTGGAAACAGATAATACACAACACTGTAAATGTACTTAACGCCTCTGAACTATACACATGGTTAAAATAATAAATTTAAGTTAAAAAGAGAGAGAGAGCCCTAGCTGGTTTGGCTCAGTGGACACAGCGTCGGCCCAAGGACTGAAGGGTCTAGGTTTCGATTCAGTCAAGGGCACATACCTCAGTTGCAGGCTCAATCCCTGGCCCCCATCAGGGCAAGTGCAGGAGGCAATCAATCAATGTGACTCTCGCACATCGATGTTTCTCTCTCTCTCTGTCTCTTCCCCTTCCTTTCATTCTCTCTCTGAAAATCAATGGAGAAAATACCCTCCGGTGAGGATTAACAAAAGAAGAGAGAGAGAGAGAGAGAGAGAGAGAGAGAGAGAGAGAGAGAGAGAGAAAGGAAGGAACAGGAAACAGTGAAACAGTGAAACAGTGAGTTGGAGATAACTTTGTGGAAGTGTTTTGGTCCAAAAGAGAATAAGACATGAGGGAGTGTAGCAACAAGAGATGATTTTCTCCCTTTAAAGTTGTTTTTTTAAGTTGAGAGAAATAACAATGTTTACATGCTGATGGAAATAATTATTTAATAGGGAGTGAAATATGATGTAGGAAAGGGGAAAATTTCTTAGGTAATGTCTTTGAGTAGGCAAATGGAAATAGGATATACCATACAAATGGAAATACAGCTTACATTGGAGCATGATAGCTCATCCATCGTGACAGATATAAAGGCCAAATAAATGGACAGACATGTAGGTTAGTAGCCATATGTGGTGATGGGAGGCCATAGAAGTTCTCTTCAGCTTGCTTCAGTTTTCTCAGTGAATTAGGAAGCAAGATCATCACTGAGAGTGAGAACTAGAGAAGTTCTGGAAGTTTGATCAGAGAAAAAAAGGTATGAAATAATCTGGGAGTGTAAATGAAGTAGGGAAATATGATTCTTAGGAGAATTAAAGGCTCAGTTTTATTAAAAGTGTGCAAACACCATGGCCAGTGTGGCTTGGTTGAATGTCGTTCCACATACTAAAACGTATCAGGTTTGATTTCCATTAGGGCACATACCTAGGTTTCAGGTTCAATCCTGGTTGAGGCCCTGGTAGGCAACCAACTGATGTTTCTCTCTAACATTGATGTTTGTTTCTCTCTCTCTCTCTCTCTCTCTACCACTCTCTCTCTCCCTTACCTCTCTCACTAAAATCAATAAAAACAACCCTAGCTGATTTGGCTCAGTGGACAGAGCATTAGCCTATGCAACTGAAGGGTCCCAGGTTCGATTCCAGTCAAGGGCATGTACCTCAGTTGCAGACTGGATCCCCAGGCTCTGGTGGGAGGCAACCAATCGATGTGTCTCTCTCAAATCAATGTTCCCCTCCCGCCGCCTCTCTAAAAAATCAATGGAAAAATATCCTCAGGTGAGGATTAACAACAATTAATTAATAAAGTAAAATAAATAAAATAAAATAAAAACATATCCTTGGGTGAGAAAAAAAGGAAGAATCTATAATAATAAAAGTGTAATATGCAAATTGACCGAACAGCCAAACAGTGGAACGACCGTCTGGACGACCATGCTATGACACCCACTGGCACCAGGCCAGCCAAGGCAGGTGCAATGTGATTGGTTGGGGGCCCAGCCAATGCCCCATGATCGCCCAGCAGAGGGAGGCCTAGGCCACCGGCCAGCAGGGCAATCAATTGGGGGGCTCCATGATCGCCCCAAAGAGGAAGGCCCAGGTCACCGACCAGCAGGCTGCGGTGGTGGACGGGGCCTCCCTCTGCAGGGGCGATCCATCACAGGGCTCCTGAACTGTGAGAGGGCACAGGTGAGGCTGAGGGACTCCCCCAGGGCACGATTTTCATCCAAACAGCAGTACTACCGGTCACTATGACGCACACTGACCACCAGGGGGCAGACACTCAACGCAGGAGCTGCCCCCTGGTGGTCAGTGCACTCCCACAGGGGGAGCGTCACTCAGCCAGAAGCCAGCTCATGGCTAGAGAGCTCAGTGGCGGTGGTGGGAGCCTCTCCTGCCTCCAGAGGGCGCGGACCTAAGCCGTCAGTCGGACATCCCCTGAGGGCTCCCTGACTGTGAGAGGGCGCAGGCCAGGCTGAGGGACCCCCCTTTCCCCCGCCCCCCCCCGCAAGTACACAAATTTTGTGCGCCAGGCCTCTAGTGAATAAATAAATAAAAGGAAGCAAACAAGTCCTTGCCTGTGTGGCTAAGGTGGTTGGGTGTCAGCCCATGCACCAAAAAATTACCAGTTTGATTCCCCGTCAGGGCACATGCCTTGGTTGTAGGTTCAACCCCTGGTAAGGGTGCATGCCAATCAGTATTTTGCTCTCACGTTGATGCTTCTCTCTCTCCCTTTCTCTTCCTCTCTCTCTAAAAAATCAATGAAAAATCTTTAAATGAAGTATAATGTATACTATATATATATTTTGAAGCAAACAAAAACTATATGTGTAGGTATAAATATATGTGTGTGTGGTTTTTTATGTACATATAAAATTTTATATATGTATATAAGATGTTTGTATAATATATGCATAAGCTTAGAAAAGGATCCAGAGTATACACACCAAATTTTAACAGTGCTTATAATTAGAGATATAGATATAGATATAAATATAGATATATAGATATAGATGGAGGGAAAAGTGAAAGAGTCTCCTATATTATTTGTTTTTTTATCAGCATGTATTATTTATAATTAAAATAATAAGATATCTCACAAGTTAATAAATAACCTGAGGGGACAGTTTAGGACAGCAGTTACCAACCTTTCAGACCTCACGGACCACCAGTGGTCCGCAGACCACCGGTTGGCGACCGCTGGTTTAGAACACTGTTCAAGATCCACAGCATACTGACTAGGCAAAGCCTATGTCCTAATTAATTAAATACAACTATCAATTCTTCAGTGAAGCTGACCATCAACAAGACAATATGAGAAAAGATGAGGCATCACTCACCTTGAACACTTCAGAAAAGAAGCCAGATCCTATTTTTTCACAGGTGAAGTCATCTAAACGTGTCAGTCTGGAAAAGGCACTTATAAGAGCTCGATATGAAGATGTCCCAACTCTTCCCACCTGGGTCACATTCCCATCGTTTCCAACACCTCCTTCAAAATCTTCAAGACGCTCCACACGTGGAGGAAATCCTGCAATTGAATTCCGTTTGCTCCGATCCATAGTTGTAATAATCACTTTTTCTTCTTTTAAGAAGGAACTCCACACATAATATATTTTTGTTGAGTTTTACTTCTCTTCCAGTTTGACACTAAATAAGAGATCAAAATGATACTTCATTAAAACCATTAATAAACACATACAAACCAATGAACTAGCAATATAAAAATATTTCTTCTTTCACATTCTAGTTCCTGATTTTCAGACCTAAAAAATACTTTATGCCTTTACCTTCAAAAAACACTGATATATTTAAAGCTCCGATATAATCAGTGTTTAACATGAGTAGAATATAATGAAGATCACCAATTACATTCTAGAAAACAAAGTAACAATGGTAATATCTCTCATTCAATGAGCACACACTACCTAGGAAACAAGTATAAAAGCCCAAAATATGTCATGTCATTTGATTCTCAAATCATTTATGATATAAGGATTATTATGTTCATTTCACAGAACAATCAAGTAATCATACAGCTCACTAAATGGCAGAGATAACATTAAAATGCAAGACTGTCTTTTTAAAAAGCCTGTGCTCCTACTAATGCCCCATGCCCTTGACCGGAATCGAACCCAGGACCCTTCAGTCCGCAGGCCGACGCTCTATCCACTGAGCAAAACCGGCTTCGGCCAAGACTGTCTTTTTAAAAAGCCTGTGCTCCTACTAATGCCCTGCATAGCCTCACATAATTTTCTTTTTATTTGAAAAATTAAGTCCAAATGTACAAAACAAAGATGACAAAGATTTTATACTATAAAACTATATAATGTTAAAAGAAGAAAACTATATCCAAAAGCAACTTAAAAATTCAGTGTTGATTAAACAGCACAGTCCAGCAGAAGTGACTGTAGAAGGCTCAACCCTAGCTGGTACATAAGTAAGAATAAAACACAAGCCTATATTTTCTTTTAGCCTATCTCCCCCTACATCTACTTTTTTCCAGGAGAATTGATTTTAAGGGTCTTATGCAAAGTATAACAAAGTGACTCTTCAATTAGTGAAATGCTTTCAGTGAAAATGTGATGAATATATAGCCCTGGTTACCTTTACCACCTCCAACCAGGGATAATAATGACAAGGCTCCCAGGGCAATCCTTACAATATGACCCTGACTCTCTACCAATAGTCAGAAGTTGGTGCCACTCTACAAAATATGAACCAATTACAGTTCCTTTCCTAGCAATTGGAATTGTAATTAAGGTATTTCAGCCTCAGTCTGACTGCTTTCTAAAAAGAAAGCCTTGTCAACGCAGGAGTGTTGGCCATGACCGTTTCCTGCCATGCAGCCTATAAGGATGAAAAAGCCAATTGATCATCTATCTGCTTCAAAATTACCCAAGGATCTTAAAACCCAGATTCTTGGGTTTCAACCTTGATCTCCTAAATCAAAATCTCTTGGAGTGAGACCTGGGAATTTTACCAAGCTCCCCAGTGATTCTTAGGAAGGGGAAATGTTAATAGCTTTTTTAAAATAGAAATTTTACAAGCATTTTCTCATTTATTCCTCAAAACATACCCCCAAAGTATGATCCCCATTTTACAGAAAAAGAAATGTAGGCTCAGGAGGTTAACTTGCCTAAGGATACATAGCTGGTAGAACCAGAATTGGAAGCAAGGTCCATCCAGCACCAAAAAAACTCAAGCTTTCCCCACATCATTATTACTTAGTTCAGTGTTTTTCCACTATGAGAGTTGTAAGGAGTTAAGTTAGTCATCTGGGTAGAAAGGAAGGCCAGGACTTAGTGCAGAGGAAGGCCAAGCTAATTGTAATTTGGACAGAGATAGAACAGGAGGGAAAAGAAACTTAATTTTAGGAAAATAAATACAGATATTGAAGTTAAAACAATATATGAAACATAGTTGCCTGCTAAATTAACTAAACAATTTGATAGGCTTGTTATGAATAAGATATAGCCCAGAAAACTGGTCATTTCCCACAATAGGAATACTAACAAGTGCATTAGCTGTGTGTATCAAGACCAACCACATGGCAAATCTACATGACAGGTTTGCTCAGCTGCTATCCTTTCTATGGACCAATATAGCAAATACAGACACACTTCAGGATGACTGCCTAATTAAAAATAAAAGCAATACTGCTGAACTTACCATCCTGCTGTGAAATCATGAGTTGCAGTTTCCATTCAAACCAAAGGCAATCTAACATAAAAATTGACATCCCTATTTATTTAATTAGCCACGAATATATACAATGGCATATATTAGTGACAGATCAAAAGCCAGTTCTTAAGACTGTATTATCTCTTTTAGATAAATATCTTATTTGCTATTATAATCACAATCCATGAGGCCCTAGATCATGACATAAACTTATGTTGAAAGCTGTAAAGGCATTTGGAGGTTAACTAGTCCAATCTTTTGGCCGATTCAGAAATCCCTTCTATTAATGGAGTCAAATGTTAATTGGGTTCCCCCTAGGTACAAAGCATTATGATAGGTGCTATATATACTGAGCATTTACTATAATCCATACACTTTTCTAAGTGCTTTATATTTAATATTCATAATAGCCCTATAAAATAAGTACTATTACTAAAAATTTTACCAATGTGAGAAAAAAATATGAAGGAATTAGTTAACTTGTCCAAGTTCTCTCAGTCAAGAAGTGATAGAGCCAGAATTCAAATCTAGATACTGTACTTTCTTTTTTATTTTTTTTATTATTATTTTTAATCCTCACGCAAGGATATTTTTCCATTAACTTTTAGAGAGAGTGGAAGAGAGAGGGAAGGACAGAGAGGAATATCGATGTGAGAGAAACACATCGATTAGTTGCTTCCTGCACACGCCTGACCAGGGCCCAGGCCAGGGAGAAGCCTGCAACCGAGGTATGTGCCCTTGATCGGAATCGAACCCAGGACCCTTCAGTCTGCAGAATGATGCTCTATTCACTGAGCCAAACCAGCTAGGGATTTTTTTTATGTTTTTAATGATTTTTTTTTTTTTAAAGAGAGAGAGAGGAAGGGAGAGGGAGAGAAAGATAGAAACATCAATGAAAGAAAAACATCTACAGCCCAACACTGTGCTCTTAATCACTATACTAATACAGTACTGCCTCTCTGGGAGGAGGATAGAGAAAACAGAATGAAAAATGACTCCACCCCTCCAGGAGCTTAGTCTCACAGGAAGAACATGTACCTCTATGACTACAATTCTGTGTGATAACTGCTAATGACACATTAAAAGTAAGGAGAGCTTAATTAAGGCCCTGGCAGTAAGGACAGAGAAGTGGGAAAGATGATAAGTGACTTTATTTTTTTATTTTTGTTACTTCTCACCCGAGGATATTTTTTTCATAGCTTTTTAGAGAGAGAGTGGAAGGGGGTTGGAGGGTAGGGATGGGAGAAAGATACATTGATGTGAGACACATCAATTGGTTGCCTCCTGCATATGCCCCTACAGGAGGTGGGGAGCAAACAGCAACCCAGATTCATGGGGAACCCGTGAACCTTCGCTGTGCAGGCCAACATTCTAACCACTTCACAACACTGACCAGGGTAAGTGACTTTAAAAAGGTGAGCAAATGGCCTGGCCGGTGTGGCTCAATGCTTGAGCGTGGACCTATAAACCAGGAGGCTATAGTTGGAGTCCAGGTTAGAGCATATGACTGGATTGCAGGCTCGATCCCTATGTGCAGGAGGCAGCTGATCAAAGATTCTCTCCCTTCCTCTGAAATCAATAAAAAAATATTTTTTAAGAGGTGAGCAAATGGATGTAGTAGATGCAAGAAGTATCTAGGATGACTCCTAGTTTACTTAGAATCCTTCCCATGTTTCTGGTTTGATTGGGGAAATGAATAGGCATTGACCAAAAGGAAAAGGTTTGTGAAGAGATGTAAATTCTTTGCTGATCTTCTGAGTTTGAGGTGCCTGAAGAAAAACCAAGTAACAACATGTAAGAAGAAGTTGGGAGACACCACACTAAAACTCAGGAGAAAGGACTAGACTGGAGATGCATACTTGAAAGTCAATAGCATTTACACATATTCTAAAGAGTTCTCCAAAGTAGAGAATATGAGTAATAAGTAATATTTCCTGAGTTGCTACTATATGCCCAAACCTAGTCTCCTTCATGATGTCCTTAGGTGAAATCAGATAAGAGGCCAATGAAATATATCAACATACATAGGACAAAAAAAGAAATAACAGAGGTAAGAATAAACCAAGAAAAAGTATGTCACACAAAGTAAAGATGAAAACAACAATTATATCAAAAGCCACAAAGCAGTCAAATAATGTGAAGAAAAGTGTCACTGGATTGGACACTATGGAAGTCAGAGAGAGTTCAGCCTACTATACCACTACACTTACTACACTACAAAGAGCACAGTAATTCCTCTAGCAGCTTGTTGTGTTTTTTTAAGATTTTTTATTGATTTTTAGAGAGAGAGGAAGGGAGAGCAAGAGAGAGACAGAAACATCAGTGTGAGAGCAGAACATCAATCGGCTGGCTGCCTCCTGCATGCCCCCTACCAGGGATGAAGCCCACAACCTGGGCATGTCCCCTGACCAGGAATCAAATCAGGAATCTAACCTTTCGACGTTGAACCAACTAAGCCATATGGCCAGGGCAGCAGCTATTCTATTATTGGAAAGTTTTGAATGTTACAAAGCTTCTTTTTTCTTTTTCTTTTTTTAATACATTTTTATTTATTTCAGAGAGGAAGGAAGAGGGAGAGAATAATAGAAACATCAATGATGAGAATCATTGATTGGCTGCCTCCTGCACACCCCACACTGAGGATCGAGCCCACTACCTGGACATGTGCCCTGACAGGGAATCGAAATGTGACCTCCTGGTTCATAAATCAACGCTCAACCACTGAGCCATGC